AAACACGAGTGTGAAACCCTATTACTAATATCTCGCTGTCTGTCTGTCTGTCACCAATCTGTATCTTATGGACCGTAATAGTTAGACAGTTGAAATTTCCACAGATGACGTATTTCTGTTGCCGCCATAACAGCAAATACTAAAAAACAGAATAAAAATATATTTAATTGGGGCTCCCTTACAACGGACATGATTTTTTTTGCCGATATATTAGATTATAGATAATGGTACGGAACCCTTCGTGCGCGAGGCCGGCTCGCACTTGGTCGGTTTTATATTATAGGACGCACGTTCTTTATCATCTCGCCAGATCGGCTGTATTGATCGCAACGGCTGTATAGAATTACTCAAAGTTTTTGTTATCGTTAAGTTTGTGTAAAAACGAATTTAAATTCGACGCGGATGCAGTTGTCCCAGATAGAGATAACTGATATTGAGCTCAGGGCCTACCTTTAAAAAAACACGATCCGAAACACATATTTTCATATTGTTTGTTTATTAATTTAGTTGTTTTGTGTGTTATTTGACTGTGTGATACATTTTAAACTGATTATCACACTGAAAAAAGACTCATATGTACTTGTCCTGTAAATTTTCCTAATGATAGATTTCTTAATGCCCAAAGTAAATACTAAAAATTGGAACATCGACCAATCATACAGCAATAGTAATATCAATAAGTAGGTGCAGTAAACTAAATGGAATAGTCTATTTTTAATGATTATTGGGAGGTAGGAAAGGTAGGAAAGAAAATTTTACCGCACTTATTATAAAATTATGATATTCGAGAAAATGCGATATATTGTTATTTGGGTATAAATTTGTTTCAATATATACAAATCAATCCGTTAGAATTGGATTTACGTTCAACAAGTTATTAAAATGTCATAACATTTTTATAACTTGTTGGATTGTGAACACTGTGAAGTTGTATCGAAACTCTACATCTGATGATTCAAGATACATTTCTTAATACAAAATATTATTATTATTCGATCAGTAATTTTTAGTACAAATAAAATATTTAACCTAAAACATTCTTCAATTAAAGAATCGATGTTATTCCTTAATTAATATCCGTTCGAACAATTTGAAATATTCGTCGTCGAGGCATATTAAAAGCACTACAACACGAGCCATAACACAATCCGATGGGGTCATCTTTGAGGTCCGATACACACGTGTGATATCTGGCACCCGACCACCTCTAGGTCCAAATACCGAGGGCGAACGGCGGGTACCTACAGCGAGATGTAATTTGATCGCCGAGATAATCTCGGCCAGCATCGCAGCGCCGAGCTCACACGAAATGTTGACTCGGACCTCTCGCTTCGAGCTCGGCGAAAACGATCCGAACGTTCCAACGACGATTGCTACACAACCAATTAACTGATGCTTTAAATACGTAAACGAAGGATGACGAGACAAAGGATGCGAATGTCCTTAAAACTTAACACACAATGAAAGAGTTTCGAATATAGTGTGAATGAAAATTATTACATGTCCATCTCGTGTCTAGTAACTGTTTGCGTGAATCGATTGCGCATTTATTTCTTTTAATTTTTTTTTACATATTTCAATCATCTGTTATGTGAGGATACATTTTCCCCGAAAATTTTCAACACAATAACCGAGTTTACAGGTTGTTATTAGGCGACACTGTCTATATTCTTTATGCTTTTAATTTTTTTTCTTATCAAATATATTAACTTTATCTGTTAATTTTTCGAAAATAGCGGTGGAGCAATAATTTTTAGAAACAATTAAGCCAGATATGGGCGTTGTCACAATTTATGCTATTGTTTCTAGAAAATGGCAGCATCGTATAACAAAGACGGTTAGCTTACCAAACATCCCTGAAAGGACAAGTGAAACAAAACCGGCCAAGTGCGAGGAGACGGACAGACAGGACAGACAGAGAGCGGAGTCTTAATAATAGGGTTTCACTCTTTAGGTACGGAATCCAAGAATACCCGAAAAAGAATACTGGTACCATGTTAAAACTTGTCAGCTTGTTTTCACTTATCACCCGTAACTATTCCTGCCCGCTATAGGACATCAACATGAGTTCCCCACGATTTAATACAAGCATTTATCGCGACACAAATTGCACGCAGTGGGGTTCTTTGTGTAATGCGCGAACAACAAGCCGCCACGTCGGGCGACTGTGACATTGGGTGTCAGGAATCGTGACCCCATAGTGCTGAGCCGCCGTGACCCGTTCCGACACTGCACCTGTGGGCGGTCCGCCATCGAGGTGCAGGGGGGCGGAGGGGGAGGGATGATAGCGTATCTATCGACTCCCTATCGATGAATCGATGGAGTCGATCATATCGGAAACTCAATTTCGCTCGGTCGATTTTGTAGTACCTCTTTAATTATTCTTCGTAATCATTTATACAAGCTTGCGCACATTTACACGCTAAAGCCTACGTCATTTTAAAAGTGTTTATATTGAACTTGCAGATAAGTGGTGGAATGGGTTCTAATACAGAATGACATCGGGTTTTTGGTATGTGAGAAGGTGGCAAGGGAGCTGGTGGTTCACCTGATGTTAAGTGATAACCGCCGGCCATGCACATTGTTAACACCTGGAGGGTTGCAGATGCGCCATTCGATAAAGTGGGTACTGGCTACCTCACTCACCAGACGAAACGCACAAGTATAATACTACCACTTCACGCCGGTCTTCTGTGAGGTCGTGGTACTCCCCCGGATAGACCAGCCCATTCGTGCAACAGCGAACTATTATATGTAAAGTAAATTAAAGTAACAGCCTATACATGTCCCACTGCTGGGCAAAGGCCTCCTCTGTACAGAGGGTATCAGGGCATAGTCCACCACGCGGCCCCACTGCGGATTGGCGGACTTCACATATATTCGAAATATGTTATTTTTTTGTTATTATTTCGAAAATATGCGGGTTTCCTCACGATGTTTTCCTTCACCGCGGAGCACGTGATAAAATGTTATATGGCCCTAACATAAATATAAAGACGAATGGCGATGACCCGAATGGCGTAGTGGGTAGTGTACCTGCCTCCTGCGCCGTAGGGTGTGGGTTCGATCCCCACTACTGGAAAAATACTGTGTGATGAACATAGTGTTTTACTAGTGTCTGGGTGTTTATATATGTATATGTATTTATTTACAAAAGAAGAGTATGTCTATCAGTTATCTAGTACCCAAGTATAAGCGATGCGTAGTTTGGGACTAGAGAACGTTGCATAAAAATGTATCCTAAAATAGAGGATGTCACAGCCCAGCTGTAAAACGTATCTGTATAGGCCGTTATAATATTTTTTGAAATGTTTAAAACAGCCTTTCAAACTATTAAGGCATTTTTATTAAAATGAAATCATTGAGGCCTATTTTGTCTAGAAGAAAAAACATTTTTCCGATAAAAATTTCTATGATGATTAAGGATGACCTAAAAACTTCTGCGGGATGCAGAACGAGGTTGCGTGAACGCAAAACCATTTTAACGCCCTAAACACTCATCAGAAACTTTTTATTCTTTATCTGAGAAACTGGCATGAGTGTTCACCCGATTCCAAGTGATTAAATTTGGTGATAGAGACCAGTCTTCCGGATTCGCGCCCAGACCACGTCTTCCGGATTCGCGCCCAGACGCTTCAACTAAGCTAAACGGTTTAAACGAGTGTCTTGCTAATTTGGCAACTTTTTGAAAAACCCTACCAATAGCTTTTTCTACTAATCATTCTGACTAGACCTACGAATATAGAAATGAATCACTCCGGTATAACGTATCTTTTCATCGTATCATAAAATTCAAAATAAAACTGTTTAAAGGATTAGTAACTAGTAAATTCTTTAATAACCGAAATGTATTAATGACATCGAAAGGTCTGACCTTATCTCTTTAAAACATAAATCCAAAGGCAGAAAAAATAAGTATATTAAATAGTCATAATCTGTGGAGCTAGAGCTGTGATGTTAATACGTTTTTACGTCTCGAGTTTATTTTTTTACGTCTCTGCTCACTGCACGGTGGAGGTTTCATCGTCTATTTCAGACTTGGAAAAGCTCTTGGAAAGACACATGTGAGCCGAGAGCCGATAGTTTTGATTCGGCTGGTGACTAACTAACGTTCCGGTTTTGTCCCAAAATGACGTCACTCCACTCGAAGAAGCGATTTCGACAATTGTCAAGCTCTCTCCGCGGCAAGAATTTCGTTTCATACCCTTGCTTCCGTATGCGTTGTTGATGGGTTCTCATTTCGTGAGTTACATTACAATCAACCTGCGTAACGATTGATTAAAAAAAAAAACAAATTCAATGAAGCACTTTATTGATTTTAAATATTAGTTTATTTCCGATACTTTGTCTCTTCTTTAGGCGCTTCACGTTCTATTCGTTATACTTTTTGGCTACCAACAGTGTTATACCTGTATATATTTGGCTTAAATCCAATAGTACAACAAGTGTCAAAAAAGTAGTTTTCACTAAAAACCCATTTTTAAACCTTTCACTCGAGACGACTAACCACGAGACCTACAACGTATATTTACCGTGACACATTAACGAGTTTCTATTACGAATACAAATATGAAATAACGATAGATAAATGATCGAATCTCGCCTCGAAGGATTCATCTTAGTGAAATACAACACATTATAGACACACGAGCAAATGTATAGTACAAACCGACTTTGATTATTTTACCCAAAGAGCTACAAAAGCGATCGGGCACACCGCACTGCTACAAGAAATGGTGAACTTTGTATTGGACAGATTTAATTAGCGATCGAACGAGAAAGAAGATGTAAACAGATTAATCAGGCGACCAGCTCCGGAGCCGGTAACAGGGCGTACGGTCGCCCATCAAATTACATACAGCCTACAGATAAAGCCTTATTAGTTCCTCCCCTTTTTTTCCCATCAAACGGTTGACCGACGTCGCCGCATTAAGAATCCATTAGGTCCGCATGAGGCCTCGCTGATTAATACTCCGTTATCGTCCGAGCTTGTATTATCAACTGTTAAGTACTGGACGTGATTTATACAACGCTTTATCGGCCGGTAGATGTGCGATGGCGCCGGCGGTGAGCTCTATCTCATTTCGGGGCTCTCTTTCGGGCCCGCCGTTGCCTAAAGCGTTTGGCGCCTCCATATGCGTCGGGGTTCCGCGATCCGTATAATCTGAACCGTGAAGCGAGAGTAGAACAACAGATCCCATCGCGGGAGATAACAGTGGTCCCAAAGCACGAAAGTTTGAGGCCGAAACGAATCTAGTAAGTCTTGGTCGATAGAGATGAGGGATAAGAGTTTCATCAACGAAAGTTAGTCTGAAGAAACGAGTAAACGGCGTTGTTAAATCTTCTGTAACGGAGACAGTGAGTTTGAATTCTGCACAGAGAAGAAGAGAAGTAGCTTTTTCAACATAAAAGCTAGAAATTTTGGATCATAAACAGAAAAGTTCAGCGTCTTGGTTAGAAGATTTACATGAAAGAGTAACAGAGGGAGGTAAATTATTCATAGACAAAGTTGATAAGTCTTAAGGTGGTTAAGACCGTAAAAGCCTAAATCTGACATATGTTGTAAATACTATCTGAATTTAAGTCCGTTGACAGCAGCAATTGACAGTGGTTATAAATAATATACCATCAAAATTACATGTTAAAAATAGCTCGTGTAAGCTCGCCAATCGAACATCATATGTAGTCCGTAAAGATAACTCGTAAATCTTAGGACTATAACATTACAGATAAATTATCACCTAGGCTTTACCATATAACAAGTGACGCAGAAGAAAAGTTTTTATGAAGGATTTAGTTCGACATCATCTGTGCTTTTTATGTTGTGTTTTTCTACAACAACGACAAATATAAAGCGAATAATTTCGGTTAGGCTTCCAAAAACGACAATTACGCATTTGTTAGTATTACACTTAGAAGTCCCTATCGGTACATCATATTTTATGTTGAATATAATTACTTATAACGACATTATTCCATTGCAGTGTGATTAATTAGTACTGAACTCCCATCATTTGCCCCACATAGCGGTTGACCGTTCCAGTTTCCCATCTCAAATTGCTTAAGTAGCCCCACATAAAGTTGCTCGTAAGACAACTACGACTAATTTGACGGCGCTTGTTAGGGCATTCGGCATTCAATTGACCGCACGTGTATTCCGCCTCCTGTAACGTTAATAACGCACACATTTCCGGATGCGTGTGTGCGTAAGCATGTTTATTTATCAACAACTCCACCGATATATTTTGGTTCGGCAAACTTCATTGAAAAACAAACAGAGCTTTTTTAAGGCAAGCGAGCTGTCGGTTCACCTTATGTTAAGTAATAACAAGCCCCGCCACCCATTGACATTTGCAACACCCGTAGGGTTGTATTACACACTTCACGCCGGTCTTTTGTGAGGTCGTGGTACTTTCCCTGACGGACCTGGCCATACGTGTTAATTTTAAACATTCTCAATGAATCATCATTATTATTGTTAATTTATTAACATCTTAAATATAACCTGTTAACGGTGACTTATGCTATCGTTATTTCATATAAAAACCTTTTAATAATATTTTTTATAACAAATTTTAAAAATTGATTTCAATCTGCTACCAAAAGTGTTATGAGAAATTTGTTGCTGTATACGGTTTCATGCATAGTTTTGGTTAATAAGGGACTTACTAGGGTGGTAAAAAAAACATAACCAATATCATGAACGACATATTTGACATGTTTGCCGATCACATCTTCGTGGAGAAAGGACAAGAGAAAGAATATAGAGGTAAGAATGAAATGAATGAAAAAAATCCCGAAATGACATTTAAGAATAAAAGTCCAGAATTTAGATGACAACAAAAATGTATCCGAATCGACCCTACTTACAATCGGGGACATGCGTTAACTATTCTACTCACACTACAGTGGAGACAGTTTGACATTTAGTTGCATTACAACGCAACTGTTAATATATCGGCAACGTTCAATGTACAAATAGAAGTATAAATAGGTGCAGTTATCCGTTCTCTAAACTAACAGCTTAACTTGCGGTTTAACAGGGCGAGATTGCGATCGGATCGGCCGCAAGAAACAAACAGACAGGCGGATAAGCATCTTTGCCACATCGCTTTGTGCCACGAGATCACGAGAAAACGGAGTTTTACTCGCATTGCAAAAGCGTTACGACACTGAGCGGTTATGAGCTGCGATTGACGAATCACGACCCATGTTTAGAGGCTTTACAAGAGCGTTTATTCTTTACTAGCTGCTTCCCGCGACTACGTCTGCGGCTTGAATAGAAATGAAAGAGTAACAAACATCCATCGATACATAAAAACTTTCGCCTTTATAATTCTACTAGCATGGACTAGTATGGACTAGTATGGACTAGTATGGATTTAAGACAATGGCGAGTGAGCTGGCGGTTCACTTGATGTTAAGTGTCACTTAACGTGTAGATAAAATTGTCAAGAGGTTAAAAATTAAAATCAAATTTCAAAAGCAAAAGCGACATCCCTAGTTTTCAAATATAATTATGGTTTAAGAATGTCATTTCAGGAACTGTGTTTGCTGTAAAGGAAGCATTAGATGACACTAAGCATTGCTATGCAATAAAACAAAGTTCATGAGATATAGAAATTGTCGCGTGGTGATATCGATTAATTTTCTGGGTAGAGCGTCTAGACGCGTAATCCGGAAGGCATAGGTTTCAATCCTAACAGCCGAGAAAAAAATTCGCCAAAGTGAAAAAAAAAAAGCAATTTAGATTAAATACGTTGAGATTTTCGTCGGTGTGGCAATTAGCCGTTAAGCTTAGTGGCTAAAGCGTCTGGTCGCGATCTGGAAGACGTGGGTCTTCTCCTGAATCTATTCCTGCAGCGGCTCAAAACCATCCAGAAAAAAAATCCAGAACCGCCTCAAACATGTACAGGTCATACAGATACGCGGGAATCGAACCCATACGAGGGGACGTGGGACCCAATCCAATAGCACCCGCATATATCTTTTCATATCTGGGCCATCGTAGACGAACGAACACTACGTCCAAACAAATTCCCTCTCAGATCTCATCGGAAGAAGTCTGTAATACGATAGCGACTGCGGTGACGGGCCGGCCCGAGGAATGTGACGCCGAGTCAAGTTCACAGCTATCGTTGGCCCACATTCCTCACACGTCAAAACATGACAACGAGTCACGGCGCCCGCGCTGAATGCAATCGAAACAATTATCGAAGTTAAACTTCTTTGGACGCGACTGAGGGGTGAGCAGTTTTTATTATCATGTATGAAGTAAATTGTGGCAAACTTAACTAAAACATAATACTAAAAATAAGTATAGAATGTAAGATTGAATATAAACTTAATGTTTGTATGTCTAAGCATTTGTATACCAGAAATGATTGAATGTCATGGAACTGTATAATATTATTGTCAACATCTTTTATACCATATTCAAACAAACAAACAAATAAATAATGAGATAAATAAAATATAAATGAGCAGCTTATACAATATGTCCCTGTAATGAAAAAAATTCTCCTATTAACCTTATTTCTGTTATCCGTCAATCCATAATAGGACTGACGGATTATAGAAATCATCAAACTATATCTTTGTTTTATTTTTCAAGTATATCGCTTTTTTTTTAAGTCCGCCGCCCATTAACATTATCAACACCCGTAGGGTTGCAGATGTGTTGCCACCCTATAATAAAGTTGGCTCTACTCGCGATATTTCCCTGTGATAAAAATAAATAAATAAGTAAGTAAGTGTTTCAGGATAAATTCTTATACAAAGTTATATTGTCCCAAACTAAGCAACTATGGGCACTGGATAATTGATAAACATACTTAAACATAACTTTCTTTTGTAAAATAAAAATAATATTATAGATATATGAACTGACAACATTTCCACACAATATTTTTCCAATAACGGGGATCGAACCCACATCTCGGCGTAAGAGGCGCGTTCACTATTGGGTCATCATTGTGCTCTACTCGCGTCATTTTTATATGAAATCAGCAATTAAAAGTGCATCGCGCTATATCCGAAACGGCACTCGCCACGTGATAAGACAAAAGCTAATGAGTCGCGCACGCCAGTTCGAGATACGCGATTGGCGGATCTAGTCGACACCGGCGCACTCGTCGGGCACCTGTCGCGTATCCGAGGATCATGGCCGCGTATCTCTGCACGGATCTGCGGCGTATCTCGAAGCCATTATTCCAAATGGCATGCGATGAAAAACTCTAACTGCTGTCTATCGCGCGATACAGAATAACGTGCACGGAAAAGTTTTGGCGATTTTTTTAAGATAAGTTAGTGTTATGCAAGCTTTATTTGGTAGGACGATAGAATTAAGAATATTACACCTATTCTACACTACTACACCAGGAGGGTTGTCTCTTGCCAGTGTTTAAGAAGGTCAGCCACCACAAAGGTTGCTGCGCTTCGGATGCTGATAAAGTCATTTGAGCTTTTATTGTATTGTATTATATTATGTCCATGGACGGCGGTATTCATTTAACATCAGGTGACCTCCTGCCCACTAAATACTTTTTCACAGGAAAAAATACCGTCTCTGATTAATGGTATAATGCGAAGTTTACGTAAAATTCTTCACATTAAAAAAAATATTAAAACCTTATCTTCTGCGTTCAATATTGTTCATTACACATATTCTTACTTGTCATTGTAAATTTAACATAACTTATGTATCGAGTATACATAGGAGTATATATAGGTTATCGCCCTTGCGCTTAATTTATAGCATCACAACATAAAGGTACGAAAACAAAAGCGCCGTATCTTTGTCTCCATTGTAACACGTCACGAAATGTAAAAAAAAAATCCGCCATAAAAACACAAAAAACTTGCGCGTGCGTATCTTTGGAGATTGCGCATATTAATCTTGAGTAACTGGCTAATGTAAGAAGCGCATTACTTATAAAAAGACCTGTCCGGATGTGATAAATGCGCAGACGCGATCGTAATCTGGAACAGATTTATTTTCGCGCCTAAAATCAGCGATAACCGATTTCGGATCCGCTAGGATTTGTATATCACATTGTGGTGGAAATTTGCGAATTATCGAGCTATGTTCTTTGCCAGTACCCATCTTTAAGGCAGGGGGGGGGGGGGGGGGGGTATGCTTGATTATGCGGCGCTTCTATAACATTGGGTCAAAGCTGTCTATCACTCGAAGGTGGACAGAGATAGTGCAATGGAATTTTTACGTAGGGCTACACTGACGTAAGAATTGGCAGGCTTCTTCGGAGAAGTACTGCGACCACAGAAGATCAGCGTCAAGAACAGTAATACTTTTGCTTCTAGGTAACTTGTATACACCCATTTCAAAGATTCTTGACGCATCTGCCGCTCCTCTGGTGTTTAATCCATGCCCGCCTGCTGCCTGCTCGCTTACCAAATTGTCACATGAACAAACTAAGCTTCTTCACTCGCAACTTTATAGGTAGACAGGACCTCTTAATAAGGTATAGGTAAATAGGTATCTTCTGAGAAGAACATTCAATGGCTCAACCGATTCCGATAAAATTTGAAATTAACATTTTTTAAACATTCACGCGATCCAAGCGAGTAAAATATTTTTAATAAAAACGTTCTTGTGAGAAATAACACATTTTATATAAGCATGTGTTTGCAAAAAGATAAGTAAGGGCCTAATTGGTTGTTATTTCGTAAATAAAGTAATCATATTATCTGCACACCGCATCAGCGTAGGGGCAGACATTTTTCGATACTACGTTTACTTTGAAATAACACAAAAACAAAAAAAAAAATGCATAGCTCTAAGAAAAACATAAAAATTTGTGATTTTCGAAGATTAGGTGATTTTGTAAAAGGATTGAAAAATTTCGAGATTTAATAAAATGTTAGTTGTTGTCTAATTTAATTTTAATTAATGATTGAATTTTTATTGAGTTGAATTAAATAATTTTTTTTTGCCTATTATTCACTTAGGAGGTCACATTGATAGCGCATAGACAAAGTTTTGTTTTTTACATTATAGCATGGTTTATTATAGTGGATGGTAGATAAACCTACCTTTATGTATAACGTTTTGCATTACATAACAATTATCCTCAATTAGGTCTGCCGGTACAGTTGCTTTGTTGAATAAATTTATCAAAAATTGTTTTAACTGATCCATTATAAAAAAAAATTGATATTTTGCAATTATCCATTTTAATTAAAACTGACTACAGTTATATTTAAATGTCGCATACGAAATGAATGTTTAAAGTTCTTTTATTATATATTGACCGAAAATTATACAAAGGCGTAAAGCTCAGGGAACATTATATAATTATATTTTATATTTTTCCATAAAAGATGTAGTCAAAAACTATTCTAAAACTATCTCTATATAGAAGAAAGGTTCATCTGTTAAGTTTTGGGAGTTGACAAGCTTTACGAATGCCAACAATACTGGTTGTCTTCACGCTTGGAGTCAATAGCGGGGTCTTAGCATTCCTATCTCCTATTCACATGATATTTGCCAAATTAAAGCTTTTAGCGGACACGCTCCTCCGCTGAAGCCTCACGTTGGAACCGAACTTGGCGTCGCGAACTCCCCCGCCACTATCGGTCCATCGCCCACCGCAGATACGGCTTTACGGCCGCGCGGCTCCGGCTTTTTTATTTGACATTTTCATACAAGTTTATTCAAACAGAGCGCGATACGATAGCATCGGAGACGGTTATCTTTCAATGCAACGTTACCGCGGGCCCCGGCGCCGATAGCATCGCCAGCCAGCCATTGCTAGTCGAAGCGGGGGCCCGATAAGGCGCGCGTGTGTGCGCGCGTGCGGACGCGGGGGCGCCGCTGTGTGCGCGGGGGGCCGCCGCCCGCTCCGCCACCAGTCACTCAATTTACGCGGTAAAAGCATGACGTCGCCGGCGAAAAGGCGCGCTCGCCCGCGCGCTCTCTAGACAGTTCTTGGCGCGCCCGCGAGCACTGTGATGTTGTTGTGGCTGAGCTACCTGAAGCAGCTCGAGCTGGCGTGCGCCGGGACGCCGCCAGGCGGCGCTGCCGACGCCAAAACAATGTGTAAGCAATCGTTCACTTAACACGTTTCCCGCGTATTCTCGCTTGCGAAAGACGAAGCTTTTCGTTTCATCAAAAACTGTATAGAAACTGAAGCGTTTGATAGTTGTTAGGATGTTTTGTTTTCTTAAAATCGCTTGTGTTGTACATTACGTGGTATATAAGCTGTTGAGTTTTTAATAAACAGTTATTTTAAATGACTAGCGACAACCCTTTAAGTGATTAACGTATTAGTAGGTTGTTAACGCGCGAAGTTGTTGTAACTAAGCCAATTCAACTAAGCTGTACACGGATGTTTGTTCGCGCGACGCCTGAAGGACTGTTGCGGTTTATCACAGTAACTGTGAGCTTGTTTTTAGGTTTGGCGTTCCGAAACATTCACTCCAGCGTCAGTCAAATGTGCAACAACCTGTGGCTCCGAAGGACTTCTCCCGAAAAGGGACTCTGTTCTCGACAGCCAACGGACCATAATAAAACGATAACTTATGGTAATGCACTCGAAAGTAATATGTGCCGTAAAATTTTTGCTTTAACTTTACTTAAGCACACGATACGCTGCGATGTCTCTCGATGAAAACACGATAAGGCAGTCGTTATGATATGTTGTTTTTTATCTTATTTGTCAGTCTGATAGTCTTGGACGGAGAGTAAACAGAGGATTTTTATTGCATTTGCGCGTTATCGCTAATGGGAAGCGATGAGTGATGTGATTTGAATGTACTGTCTCCGTCTCCCTCACTAATGTTTAAAATAAATGGTGAAATTAAAACGATTTATATACCTTCATTATATTTGGAATTGACGCATGAGTTAGTTCCACTTTTGAACATTGTTGTATGCATTAACGCGTGGACTTTTTCGCATCGGAATGTGTGTACTACAATATGTTTGTACGTCAATTTATTCATAAACGAATCCGTTTCCACTTGCATACACACTATTGCAATCTTTGTTGAACCCAAAGGTATAATACACAGAATGACTAATCGCGTTCGTATAGTTGATACCTATGTTAGTAAACAAGATTCCGTTTTAGCTAATAAAGCCAGCAGACAAACTAAATAGTAAACTTGCAATGCTTTAGTTCGCTTTTGTTCTCGAAACGTTTTCCTCATAGGTTGTTAAGTACGCGTGTTTTAGCTCTGAGCTTTCGTTTTTTAATGGCGTCGCCCCATTAAAGGTCCGTAGATCGTGTGATAAGGGCGGCTCGTAGATTAGGAACCAGCTGCGCGCGCTGGTGCCCCCGACAACTGCAAATTACGATCTCAACTCGAGACTCTTGCCGTGTGTGGCGTGTCGCGTGTTTTGACAGGCGCTGTCACCGTCAAACATGTCCCACAACATGTCGCAAGATCTCGTGAGATCATACTGTACTGTCGTGTACATACGTACGACTGATAAATATCGGAATGGATACAAGATACCGAAATATTTATAACTCAAATTACATTTGTCATAAGACATAAATATTGGTACTGTTTTTTATCATTTTGGTACGATCATTGTGGTCGTGAAAGCTGAATCGTTACCGTGAACTTTTAAAAGGTTTGTTCAGTTTGACAACTTAAATAATTTAACTCAATTATAGTGTAGTAAAATAATATCTACGACCCTGTGCAACAGGCCCTGAATGAACCGCTGAATGAAACAATATTAAGCGTCCATGGAATTGTTAACATCTAAAAAGCGAGTAGCGTCGCTTTTTGTGATTTTAACAATTCCACCGTCAACCCAAGCGTCGATCGACTATGATGGACTTTGCTTTTGACCGAACATCGCTGAGGCCTTTCGGAGTTCCTACCAAACCAGCCGCCTTCGCGTCGTCGGTATGACGAGAATGACGCGCGCCCGAGTGAATGGGGCCTTGGCCGAGCGCCCCCCGATCTAGCTGATAAGAGCGTCACCGAGGGGCCGGGGCGAGGGAGGGGGGGGTTTGCCCCTTATCGACGCCGAGATTTCACGTTCATTATCAAGCGAGCTCTGATCAGCGGGCCCCCAGACGCCCTGATAAGGCGTTGCACGTTCCTCGCAGGCTCGCCACGGTTTCCGTGCGGCGGACACAGAAAAGTGTTAGACGCGATGGACACAAAAATAACAGTAAATAATTGAGTTGAAGCGATGCATTGAAAAGGCTTCCCGGCACTTGTTTATTACAATCAAAGACGTTGTAGAGTTTCTAAGTTTCTACCGTTTTTTGCGTTGTTTTAAAATTTTGACGGTAACAATTTTTTTGTTAGTTAGAGACTGATCGTTAAAATAGTTTATTATGCCATTACTCAGTCTTACTGTGATGTGTTCGAGTTGTTTTTAATTCTGTTATATTTGTCTTAGGCGTAGTAGTGCGGTAAACGTGCAAAAATCAATTTCACGATTGCGTTGAAATCGTTTACACACAAAATTAAAGCAGAGCAAGCTTTAATGGAAAGATTTGAAATTTAAAACGTTTGAAATTATGAAAAAAATTTTTTTTTGATCAAGTGAATGATATACAATGGAACATTTAATATTAAGTAAACTCCAGGCAGTTATGGCTTGGAATGACCTTTGGACCTGCGTATTAAGATCGCGGTTTCGAGTCCAGGAGGTGTGACTGAATTTCAATTTGTAGAATTTCTTTACTCAAATTATATAAAATAATTAAATAAAAAAATGGCAAAGTGTGTAATTGTGGCATTCTAAGCGGGAGGCCTTTGTTCAACAGCGGACGTCTCTGATGATGATGATGAAGCATTAATAGATTCTGCATCATCCTCCTCAGACAGGAGGTGAAACTTGCGAAGAGAAGAAATCATAGTCCATTTTAGGGATGTAACAAGTTCATATCGTTCATAGCGTAACAAGTATTATGTCTGATCATTAAGTTCTGCTCACTTAGACAGGCAATGGTATTATGTACAAATATATTAAAAATATAAATTTACTAGCGCACTGAAGTTGAGGCACAGAAATTTTTATAATAACACCAATTGGTTCTATAGACTGCTATCTCTTTCCGTATCATACGTTCTATATCATCTGTCACATTCTATTTGTCATCTTATGTAAAGGGACCAATTTTTAATCGCCGCGCAATATGGACATACGTCATCTATATTAAAAATCACTGTTAGGTCTATAATTGATAATGGTAAATGTTTACCTTCGTAAGTGTCTAATCCTAAGTGGGATAGAGAATTTCGACTCACGCTCGGAATACGCCATCAGGCTTCGAAAACACGTGAACGTGTCGTTGTTAATAATATCTGACTCAAAGCAGAACAACTTACAGCGCATTAATATGCGAATAGTTTTAAGCAACCACTACTTACGAGTTGAGACTACCACGAAAATAACTCGACGCGACCGTTCTATTGTTCAGTTCAATGTGGCGGCCGAGTGTTGTTTTTTTTGTTTCCCAAACACACGAAATTTATCTGAAGGCAACATCGCGGTGCCGGGAATCGAACCGGCTATCGCTAGTCCACATCGGCGGCGCGCTGCCGTTGCCATATCGCGGCGATCTCGCCGTATTTTTTAAGCAACGCCCAAAACATGATGGCCGAAAAATGGATAGTCTTATAACAGACCTTGGACAGCGTTACTTCATTACAAAGTTTCCCCGAATTGTTGTTTTACGCCTCAGACTACGTAATGACAAACTCAAGACCCTAAGGTATATAAACCTTACTTTGAATCCAATGCATTATATTATGTACGCAAAATATTCAAAAAGAATTCTCTATTAAGCATGATATTATTCTTACGAATTATGTGCAAATAACAGTAAGCTCTTATCAGGCGCCAAATATAAACATCGTAAATATAACGAACGGTTTCACGTGAGGAATGTAAATTTTATTTATTTTTAATTTGGAGCGTAGCACATAACTTGTCATATCCTTAAAATTTATTAATGTTCAATCAAACAGGTGTTAGTTAAAGTTTTACCTTTTTGATATTTGATATTTTTAAGATAGTAAAAACGGGAACAAATCGATGGTTTCAAAGCAAAAAGATAACCTTAACGCGTTACTGTGTCTCGAGTTTGAATCCGCGTGCACTTTACAAAACATTTTTTTTTTCAAAGTCGTTACGTGTGTGTGCTTCTGGAGAAGAGCGACAACCATGGGTTGGAGAAGAAGTAACCTTTGTGAAGGTGAACAGGAGATACTATATGATTTCTCTACCAACATATTCAACATAAGAGCATTACACTCAGTTATTTATAGTCAAAATACTACCACTGGTTCGGAAACGAACTGCCACTGATCTGACAAGAACCGGCGAAAGAAACTCGGCAGGCTATTATTTTTCCATGTTTTGATAAACATTTTGTGAAATGAATATATTAAATACAATAAAAAAGCGGATCGGAGCGATGAATTTTATTCATTACCAGAGTGTGTCCTCATTTAAAAACCACCCCGCGAATATCGAAGGAGAATTTTATTTTTACAATATGGGGTAAATAACACAATAATACTCAACCTTGTTAGTTATTTTTCAGGAGATTAAGTGAAGCTAATTATTTCTTTAGCAATCTTGCCTATAATTAAAAATGAAAATAGATAGGAGAATTCTTATCTCAATAAATCTTTGAATTGCATTAAATTACAGACCGTGGTATGACGTAATGCTAATGTTATAAAAGTCTCAAGTGGTGCCCGCTATTCGGATGAATTAGAAAATCTGATATGAAAAATAACATTATTTGGCTCTGTACATTTTGTATCTGTATCTTTTGTTTTATTATCCGTCTATTTAATTTCGCATAGAATTTATAAAAATATTATTTAAAAATCGAATGTTCGCCATAACTTTGTTTATTAATTTAGTGCTTTAGGAATTGCAAACATCGTAATGAGTATGATAACAAGTGTGAGCGAATTTTCTTTAGTTTCTTTAGTGGATTTTAAGCGTACGTACAAAAAATAAATATTTAGAGCAGTGATAATGGGTACTACAATAAGAATATCATATTACTTTAGTATAAATAAACAGAAAACATTTAATTTCAATACGTGCTTTACAACAAAATATATATAATTCAACAGCAGAATCTCTAAATATTCAAGCACACTTTTTTTGGACGGAAAAAAGTATATTTCGTGACCATGGAGCCTGCAAAAGGTCCGAAAGTAGGAAATCAAAATCAAAATGAAACGAAATTAAATCTGTAAAAGATTTACAGTTTCCTTATTATATTGACATAGTAGAGCTAATCTTTAGAGCGGAATTTTGTGTACAAACGTTAGGTTTCGTTGTCTTCTACGAGTAGTATAGTACAGTAAAGGCTTGGTTAAGACGCAAGGATGATACCATCACGTAAAAGTTCGCTGTTCTCAGTCGAAAAGAATTACACAGGAGGAGCCGCGGGTGAGGGCTAGTGTCGCCTAAATCGCGTTCGGATGGGTCGTACGGTTCATACCGTGCAGCGGGGGGCCGGTCGGCTCACGCGCAGCCTAATTGATTCCGGATCGGTGGGCGGGGCCGGCGAAAGGTCGCGGCTTCGATCCCAGCGCCGCCCGGTGACGAGTTCCTGACATACTTAACGCGTGATTATTCACGTGATTACGAGATGTGTGCAAGCGTTTACAGCGACCACGTCATGACAAGCACGTACGTCATCACGTTTTCACTTAGACATACTTAACGCGGCCACGTCATCACACGCAGGTGGATGACAAGTATACAACACTTACGTTCAACGCTAGCTCAACCGTCAACAAAATCTCCACGGTAAACCAAGCACCGGTTTGGCCTTATATTCCAGCAGCGAGTACTAGTTCGTTCCTGCGATACAATTGACGTGCCCAATCTTTACGTTAATAAATGTAATCCGTTAAGTATGCATTCAAAACTGACCGGAGCCTATCAGGAAGCTTTAATTTGATTTGACTTAAACTTACCGTATTAATATCGTGTATAATTATATCCCGCATACGTATGCTTGGTGTAATTAGTATCATCAGGTAATTAAATAAATAATTTTTTGGACTAAAACAAGAAAAATTTTGGTGCTATAGCAATTTACAAATACACTCATAACACCAACTTCCTCGTAATGGTTACCTTATAAACGTTTTAAAACCGTACAGATTTCATTAACGGCGCAGGTTGCCGGGGAACTGGACTCACGGTCGTTAATAACGGCAAACGCTAAGACACCAGTTAAACAGCGTGTACTAACATTTGTTTACATAATGCTAGCTGATAATAACATGTACTATTACATTTTATTTAACAGTAAGTCATGGTCCAACTTAGAGCTAAACGATTGGAGCAGTGTTCAATAAATATATTTGTCGAATCGATGTCGAAGTTTCATAATTATGCTAAAAAAAACACGACTTACCCCGAGGCAGAAGAAATTATAACGCGAAAGCGAAAGCAAAACCATCAGTTAATACAAGATACTTAGGGAGTGTTGTTGGACGCTCTGCACGACCGTGTGTAGCGCCGTCACGCCCTGGCCCACCTTCCATTTATTTCAGAGATCGCTATCGGCGTCGGAGAGCGGACCGCCGATAAGGTGCGCCGCGGCCATCCCGATATTGCGGCCAACCTAGCAACACTCTTTAATACTCCACGTTAGAGAACACTGCTGAACATGGGCCTCCCTCACAGACTATGAAGCACGACCTTGAGCCAGCTGCATCCATCGAATTCCCGGACATTTGCACAGGTCGTCACTCCATCTAGTAGAGGGTCGTTCTACACTGCGATGACCAATACGTCACTATGTATGTCCCGATAATTTTGGTCAATTTCAATACACTGTGACACGCGGGTTACTAATATCACCTGGGCTCTAGCAACGAACTTTATAATTATATTAATTATATTAACAGTGTGTCTCCTAATGTGTACTAATTTGAATACACTGTGGCCCCGTGTTGCCTAAATTCGTAACGTTCGAATTAATACACTGTCCTTGTTTATTAACCGCGTCAACCAATTTAAATTGGTAGATTACTTATATTAAATTAGTATAAATAGGTCGGCGTATAAAAATGAAATCACAACGTTCTGTGAAACATATATAACTCTCAATTATGATTTAAATCCGTCAATTATTTAAAAAATTGTGTTTTAATATGTTACTTACACTAAAATCTTTGTAATGTAATCTACGTTATTTTATTTTCATTTAAAAAATATTTAATAAACATGTATTATTACAATAACTTGTATCAACGTAACTTTATGTTTTTGTCCGCATAGTAAAAGTATTTTTAATCGAAGCATCATCAAGTACGAGCTGTTACCGCATGCATGCACAATGAACACAAAACACACGTTTATTAGTCTATAGACGAGAGTTAATGTAACAATGTACACACAGGGTTCAATAGAACCTGAGGGGGGGGCGGCTTGGTGGAGACTGGGGGGTCTTATCATCGAAAACGGGGAGATTCGCCCGCCCGATAGCAGATCGTGCGCTGCGATATCGCGCGCCTCCAGAATACGCCCCTTATCTTCGACCAACTCTTTGTTTCTAATCGTAACGGGGAATCTACACTTTTTGTGTTTCACTATTCCGTTATAAATACGTTATCCTTAAAGGTTTCTGATTGCGTTCGTGCTGCAACGTTCACACGGAGAACGCTTTGAGTGAGTGATTTAAGTAAACAGTATGTGAAACAAAATGAACTCGGCTTAAAATGAGTAGAAAAACAATTTAGTTTAATTAAGTGCAGAGATTAGCATTATAAAAATGTTAATTTTTTTGTGTCCTGTTAAACATAGCTCCTAAAATAATTCATTAATCTAAAGCTTTCAGACCGGGTAACCAGTATTAGGTACATATTTTGTTTTTGTATAAAATATCGATTTTAATGTGCACTTCCACTATCAGCTGCTATCTCGTTTACCGAACTGTTAAAGTTCCTTAAGGAATGGACATAACGTCAGTGGCTTAATCGCTTGGAAATTTTACCACAGATAAAAATAATTGAAACGATGCAAATAGGGCGAGGCGAAGAGGGCGCGTTCAAAGGAGTGAGGGGAGGGGTACGCGCGTAAAAAATGTCAACTAACCCAGATATCGGAACGAATGTTTGTTTATCTGGCTGACGATACATGCGGGCGGTATCGGCGGGATGACGCGCCGATAAGCCGCGTCTTTACCCCTATTCCGCCGTCGATTCACGATTATAATTGCGCAAGTCTATGTTAATAACCCTAAAGGCGATAGCGTATCGCTTTCTATCGTAGACATTCCCCGTTAATGGCGGCGGTTTTTTCGAGTTTCAAACCTTAAACGACGTCTTCGTCCATTATTTATAATAAAATAGAAATATAGTATATCGTTTGTCGAAAAGATTTGACCGTTACGTTTTTGCTTTTACTTTTTCCGATAAAACAAAGACACTGGCTAGTAGATTTGATTTGACTCTGATACAAAATATAATGTGTTATGGTGTGGATAGAATTGCATGTTACGTTCTATGTCATTGATGACAGCATACAAAACCTGGTGGCTTGGTATCTGGTTAACAGTAAGGCTCAACACAAACCCTTGTGCAGCACCACTGAAAGATTTCACGAAGAATAGTGATCCATGGAACCGGACTAAATTTAATGACTTTCGATTTCTTAACAGAAACCTAGTTAATAGGAGGAGAAACACATCACGGCGTCATATCAGCTTTAATGTTGTATAATATTTGAAACTGTGATGACATGCGTAACGCATTACTTTTATTACAAAAAAAAGGTATTCTCTGTCTCCCCCTAATGAAAGTTAAGTTGATAATTGCACAGTCACCATCAAACGCGACAATTCATGATCACCTTTCATTCATACCTTGGTAGCCTTGGCTTTCGACATCCATATACATACAAACCCGCACTTAGCCCCAAATAGCCCGTATCAAAAACGCAATGGACGAAAAGCGCCGCCGACATCCGATCATCGCTTTGACTACAGGCCAAAGGTCGCCCGGAACATTCGGCCGAGCGCTCGGAAGCCACCCCCCTCACTGTGTACAGAGTAACCGAAGCACCTTGTATCGCTTATCTCGCCATCGGCCGTGTGACGTAGGAAGCGCCCTCTCCTATCGCGTCCGGCACCTGTCCGCCGCGCAGGAGATAATGACCCCTGCGGCCGTATAAAATGCCCACGATAGTGTTCACATTCGCCTGGCAACGGCCGTTATTAACTGCTAACTACGTGTGAGTACGGCCTACGAGATTAAGTGCATTCCATTGTCCCGATATGGCCTTTGTAACGGCTGTGCAGTTTTGATTTAATTTAATGCCTTAAAACTCTAAATTAGCGTCGATTTTGATACTTTAATCCGAAAACAACCGCTTTTATCCTGAGCTTAAAAGCCGTTCAGCACTGCCCATTTATAGTTAAGTTTTCTTTTAAAGATTCATCTTAATTCGAGTCATAGGTTTGACAATTCTCTACTACATTATGTGTACCTTGTAACGTGTGTTGCGAGACATTTATATTTTTTGAATTATAACATCACTCGCATTACTTATTCTATATGCTTAAGGCGTTTTATGCAAAAGCAATGACACCTAAATATGAAATAATGAATTATACGATTTATTATTTTTGCATAAAGCTTTATTTATATCTTTTTCGACAAATTATATACGTATATCGTCCATATTGCGTATTGTATGTCAGGTGAAAAATGAGAATGATAAGGTTCATCGAAATACGTTTTCTTATACAGCACTAAATCCATTCAGAACTGTACAAAAGACGTTTAAAATGTAACGCATGAACCAACTCGAGATCGCTGCATGAACTGGACGCCTTCAGTGTGGTCTGAACAAAAATTCCTAGCTTTGCAGAGATAGACTAAGGGTTGTAACTAGGGTGTGTACAATCAGGTGAGGTTTCGAAAGAGGCTTTGAGGCCTTATCCTCCCAGTGGGAATACAATGGACTATCTCTAATAATAACTTAACACCTAGAGGGCCTCTGTTACTACCTACCACCTATTTACGAAAAAACATTCCACATCGCGCCGGGGCCGTGGTGACACTCTGGAAGTACCGAGGTTTAGACTGGCTAAAACCAGAAAGTCGTTTCTTGGTTGATGCATCAAATTTTATAATAAAATAGATAATATCCACAAACAACTGAGTATAAATAATTTCAAACAATTTGTAAAAGCTACTTTAAAGGCAAGGACCTACTATAATGTCCAAGAATACATTGAGGACAAGGATGTGTGGAAATGACTCTTGCTCTGCACTTGCAAGGCCCCTGGCTGCTGCTGATATTATACCTAAATAAGTTTGTATAATTACATCACAAAAAAATAATAACAAAAAGAACAAGACCACAAAGTTTCTTGCCGGTTCTTCTCTGTTCAGGTCTAGTTTAGTGAACCGGTGGTAGATTTTTTGTTGACGTTCAATAAGACCTTAAGTTAATTCTATATTGAATAAAGACTATTTGACTTTGACTTGACTACCATGGGAATTGCAACTATAATGTAACTCATATGCGTATCCTCACCATCATGGCGCTGTCATCACTGCTTCGTTGTATGGATTTGTATGAGTTGCATAAGATTTTTTTTTAAACTTTTATTTTCAATTTAAAATGCGTCTTTTGCCAACTGCAAAATATGCTTACACTACTTAACGGGGTAGGCAAAGGTAGTTAAATGCTGACAGGGTTGTACTGAGCTTAAATAAGCTTAGAAAATTGACACGTAGCCTTGTCTATATTCGCGATTTATTAAGTTCGCCCTTGTCAAGACGCACTAAGCCCCCTGAAGCGAGAAACAGCCTAGCTATAGTTGAGAACGTAACGTGAAATATTCACTGTGCTGGTATCTCATCGTTCGCGGAAGCGGCCATCGCTAGCGCCTTATCGCTACTTCCCGCTCGTGTTCGTTTGTGTTTGTGTGTATGCATGTGATTTAAATCATACCTCTCTGAATGTTTGTTGTGTTTAATATAAAGAATTATTTTTTATGTCTTCTGCTCAGCTTATCGACATTGACCGTAGTGATTAACACACTAACACTAACACACTAACACTAACACACTAACAACAACAGTTTATTTGATACAATTCACATACATCATTTTATCTTACGCTAATTGAACCGCTCGGTCAACCGTTCAGGAAAAATACATTTTGGGGACTGCAATGTCAGAATGAGTGACGGATGGAGTGACGACCTGTGCAAATGTGCGGGAAGTCGGTGGATGCAGGTGGCTCAGGATCGTACTTCGTGGCAGTCTATGGGCGAGGCCTATGTTCAGCAGTGGACTCAAACAGACTGAAATGATGATGTTGATGATGAATGTCAGAATGACACTTTCTGGTGGTTGACGCGACGTGTCGGTTACAATCTTTTCCACGTCAGTTTGTGTTCTTCACTTAACTATTTGCTGTTGCGGTTCTTAGTTTACCGAATTAGTAACGATTGCATCCATATAATTTAACAATAAATATGAAAAATTCTTAATAAAACCTTCACACAACATTAAAAACTTTAACAGGCACACAAGTTTGCAACGGTATTTATTTAAATTCGACCTTCTCTTTCAAGCTCGCATTCGACTTCTACTAATCGTGCTCTAACTCATATCCACCGAAAACTCTTCAACTCACCCAATGCGGCCCTGGAACACATAGTCCCGCACCCTGCGTCCCCGCCAGGGCCGGCGCAATGATTCACGCGCCCCATCCGTGGGCAGTCACGGGCGACGCGACACGGGAATCGCGGCATCGCGCCGCGTTAACAAGCCGACCGCGACAAGGCTCCGCGATGCGATCGCCCCGCCAATTTGTACGCGCGTCGCGGCGCGATTTATTGGCCACGCGAGGGGCGTCCGCGCCGATAGCGAACGCATAGGTGGGCCTGTCGCGGCCGCGGGATGGGCGCGTACGCGCGGCGAGCGGCGGGTGGCTGTCTCCATTCGCTCCATTGCACGCCCGTCCTTATAATGCACGCGGACGTAATGTCGCTCAGAATTAACCGTCGCATAGCCGGTAATATATAGCTGTTACTGGTGTAGTGACTCACTCGTAACGGAAACGCTTAGGATTGTGTATTCAGTTTCGTCGCACGAAAGAAAGTGTGGTAAGTTTAGAATAATAAAAGTCTACGTTCTACCCATTACAGAACTGGTCGTAAACGCATGGAATGCGAAGACGGAAGTCGTCTTATATCCGAGAGCCGCTGTAGGTTAATGATGGAATCAATTTTTTTTCTTAACTTTTCAACCCGCAACAAATCTTAACCCACATCTTGGAACATGTACACCCGGTTTCTGAAACACATTTAGGACGCCATTTTGAAAGCTGATTAGTTAACTTCTACGATGCTCGCGCCCAGCACTTACGCCCGGTTTCTGAAACACTGATCATCGTAGAAATTAGCCAATCAGCTGTCAAAATGGCTTTTCAAATGTCATTTAAGTTGCCAAAAGGTTGTTTAACCTGTTTGAATTGATCATTCATTCATCGTTCTGATCAACTTTAAAAAAAATAGCTTCCGTATGTTTGTGTCCACAAAACTCTAAAACTAGCCGATGGATTGACGGTGAACATACACTCGTTTGCAACATATGTATTCAACAGGAGTCTCTGTATACTTTTTATTCCGAAGATATAATCGCAACGAAAAACTTTATATTAGACTCAGCCACAGGAAGCACAGTTCAGTTAGTAATTCTATAAATAATAATAAATAACCAAACAAAAAAAACAACTTCATCTTTATGGATGTAAATAAATGCAGCTCTCGAAAGACAAATATTTCAATAATCAAACATGAATACCGATCATAGCTATTGTACAGTACGTGGGCGTATATAAATAATAATGACGTCAGCTGTTCATATCGCAATGTATACACGGTTATCTCATACCATGTATTTATCTCCGTTGTATGAATATCAATCAGTTCAATTTGATGTATGGTAATTGCGAGATTTTAAATGTAGATTGTATGAAACAAGTTTTGTGCGTAGGTAAATAATTGTTCAAGACAAACATTCTAGAACAGACGTCGATGTTTGTCAAATAGATGTGTTCCATAGTGAGACAGATCTTTGTGACGAATTACGAAAAAGTTCAATAATTATCTCAAATTCTTGACTTAGAGACAAGATGGACGGCTCTTTGCTTGTTCTCAAGTTAAGTATAACTATTCAGTGAAGAAATGCAGCTATCGTTCTAAGCTAGGTTTGTTAGACAACGTTTAATTATGCTAGTATTTAAAATATTAATATGTTAAACATTTATTGTAATTAATAATGGCTTTACTCATCCGCAAGGCGGCGCCTACCTGTCACTATCATGCTAATGAAAACGAGTTTGTGTCTGACCACCCCATTTTATGTTTCGGTTGCATAAAATATCGATAAAGATAACTCTATCTCTATTTTAGCGGGCCAGACATCGATAAACTTACGAGCAACATTCTTCATTTCCATTTAAGGCTTGAGACCATCCGCATTGTATCAAAGCCATTTATTATTATGACATTCCAGTTGTTTATGCGCCGATAGCAATTCTTATTGGCTAAAAAGGCGAGTGCGTTTTAAGTGAATGGTTATTTTTTCATACGGAATCTAGTTTCCCCCGCCAGGAGTGGTGGGTCCGGCCGAGTGCCTGCTTGAGAACGTATGTGAAAAACAATACCAAAATCTAATTCGAGAGGCCCTCAAAGCTCGTTGAATATTGAGCAAACACATGAAGTGTTGACTGTTTTAGTTGCCCGTTCAATAAAGTTTAAGCGACAAATATGTTTTGTTCCTGCTTCAAACTTATTTAAACTGGCAATGTAAATATTTAACAGATCTACAAGTGGTTTGCGCTGGCAAAATTTCCGCAGTGACTTGATATAGAATGGACGCGGTATAGTCAATTATTCTACTTCCAGGCATTGGTATCTTCTTCTCTTATCCTATATTCATAGATTTCTTCTTCTATTATTATTATTATTATGAAAAGAAATTTAGTACGTCCAAATATTAATCTTCACACGTATGTTTTGATTCTTACCTCGTTAACTTCGAAGAAATATTTCATAAGCTTTTTTAACTTATTCTTTTGCTATTTGCATGAACTATTATAGAGGAAGAAACAGTTTTGAAGGTTGACCCCTATGGACCTCTAGCTCTCTCACTGTAAACCTTTTACTGATTTTATGATAGATAATGTCTAATATACAAATAATAATGACTGCTGAGTTGTTTCATTGATTCATAGCTGGCTTTGATTTGTTTAATGGTCTACAGTGGTGGTAGCGAATCCGTTAATAATACCAAGCTTCATAGTAATCTAATCCTGTTTATCAATTGATTTAGTTGTCAAGGTCTTCAGCGCCGGGTGACGTGGGTATGGAACCCATTCTACACGGGACAAGTATTTGCGCCACCTACAGATATACTAATTGTTTCGGATCTGGGTGTAAGTCCACGCTAAGTTTAAGCACGTAAAATCCTCGTAACAAAGAATACAAGATTATTCCTTGTACACCTACAGTAAAGGCGATGTTAGAAAAAACAATAAAATGTATCATTCCATTTTTGTAATATAATCTGTTCATGGGCGCTTCAAGGAAGCATAAACCTTGCTAAGTCTATTACGGCTCGGAATTTACAACGGTCCATTGATTTATTTGACCCCGAAGGGTGCACTCTGTGTTTCAATGAAACGCATCTGGCGGCAATCTAGCCGTCAGGTCGGAAGTCACGATTTCCATTACTTGGGCCCCCCGATCATCCGAGGACCGATCGTGGCTGGAGTCAAGTTGGCCGTTTCGCTTAGCCCAAGATCCGCAACAAAGTTCTTACACGATCTGTACGAGTTTCGGTCTGTTTGCTTACTCGAACTTGAAACCGCTTCGACAGAGCCGGAGGAAATTGAACTGAAGCTTATAGAAGACTAGCTGCTGCCCGCGACTACGTCTGCGTTGAATAAGCTCCTAAGCTAAAAAAATATATATATATATATGTATATATATACTGTATAACTATGTATTTGTTGAGTAAAAAAAATGACAAAAAAGAGGATACCTACGGAGTTTCTTTCGCCTGTTTCTTCTCCGTTAGAGGAACCTCATTACGAAACGGTGGTAGATTTAAAAAATGACTATCGATAAATGAAATGTATATTTCTTATTTCAATGAATAAATGATTTGAATTTGAATAGGCTGAAGGGGTAACATTCAGACAGAAAGACAGATATACATAAAAATATGTATGTAAATTATAACCTATGTTTTATTCTGATGTATAAGCTATATTATTGTAAAGTTTCATTAAAATCCATTCAGTAGTATTTGCGTGAAAGAGTAACAAACATCCACCCATACATACAAACTTTCGCCTTTATAATATTAGTAAGGATTAGTATGAATTGGGTTTAGTTTCCATTACACACGATTGCGGCCATTTTCCTATAACTCCCGAGGTCAACTAGCTAATGTCAATGGACAATATAAAGCTTACATGATTAATACAATGTTGTTAAAAGAATACAGTTAAATTGATAATGATAGCTCAGTGTCGAGACGCTCGCTTTTATTTCTATATATGCTCAGGCGATCTGAGTTCAAAACTCAGTGTTGGCACCACCAAAATTGCTAGTTGCATTTTGTTAAATGACTCGGTGCTGAATTATCACGTGCTCAGCGGAAAACATTGTGCGGAAGAAATAATTCGAAGATATGTGAAGTATGCCAATCCGCAGTTGCCCAGCAGTGGGACATGTGTAGCCTGTTAGTTATTTTACTCTACATAGAGAAATACATAAAGTTGATACTGCACGGGATAAATAGTAAAACAATGGCGCATTTTTTCGGCTTGGAATCGAATAAAACCAAGCCCATAATCCAAATTGGCCAAGCAAAGCGGTAATTAAAAGCCTCTTGTAAAATGGCCAGCGCGCCTGTTTGTTGAATCATTGCAATTTTCAGCTCGTGTAAGACTAGTATGGTATTGTGGATTGAATAATTTCCAGCTTTCCATTGTAACCAATCTAGGCTCTCTGACAATACAACCTATTCCGTTTCAACCAAGAAATTGTAAGGGCTTTATGGTAAGAGCTATGTAACCGTAAATGGTATATGCGCTGACTCATTGAAAGCGATTCATTATAGCCTCGAATTATGTTCGAGCCCAACTCTTGGCGTATTTTATAATACTATAATATACACCTTAAACGTGTATATATAGAGTTCTTCAGAAAAATATATATTCACATATTTCTTTTTATCCAGAGACGCATCGACCGCTAAATGCTATTAAATACGTTTCCTTGCCAATTGCAGTCTTGCAAAAATGGATACTGAGCTAACTGCCACGCACAGAGTTGTACAAGTCGCCCTACACTGCGATAGCCAGTACTGACCACTGGTGATGGCTGCCACTGAAAGGTTCTCAACTTTCATCCCCATCGATTATCGGTCTATGTTCAGACTGTTGCGAGTCCACACTTGTAATAGATGATGATGAATGGATTACATTTAATTACATAATACATAATAACTTCGCAAATTAAATAATATCAGTGCTAATTGCGGGGGTCGCGAGTGAACACATCTTTGAAAAATAGCGAAAAAGAGCACGTTATCCGAGCGGAGGTGAATCTGTCGCTTGATTGAAATCGTTTTTGTTTGTCCCCTAACTTCTAGTTATTTGCTAATTCAGGACAATCATTCGAATTTCGAATAGAAAAAAAAAAACAAAAACAACAAATTCAAAAATCGATCGCCGCCGCCGCGCACGCGGCGCGCTATCTATCGTTGACGAGAGCGGGAACATCTTTATTATTCGCGGCAGAACAATAACTCGCGACGGAACTGCGCGGCCGCACGATCGAGCCCGCCAATTAAAAGCGCCAACTCTACAAGGGTCCCGCTCTCGCGGAATATAAACGTTAAGGCTGCGCGGGAGTGGATCTATCGTAGTTACGCCCGATCCGATAGCGCACGAACCTACGCCTAGTGACGCGACACCAGAGATAGGTTATCGACAATTCCTTAACAGGGACAGCCCCACTGGAATCCGTGGCGACGTTATCATAATCACCAATCGTTTGAAAACGTTCACTGTTTAACAAAGACATTAGAGCGACATGTATAATATCACAACAAGCATACCTATTTACAATATTTTTCCCACACATTCAAAATTTTAAATCTTAGATGAAAGCAAAAATTCATAAAAAAGAACATACTATCCAATAAACGACTTCTTAGCTGTGCTTACGTTAAAGGCGTATTAAATCTTGTTGGCCGTAATTCTGAGTTTCGCTTAAACTCCCTTCAATTGATATTCATGATCGATATGCGACCGACGGTCCGGCGCGTCCTTACCACTGGAACGAGCTATCGTCGCCGAAGATCGCGGCGCAATATCATTATTGTATCCCCGCGCCCTTCGCGGGCCGATAAAGGCTTGGAATGTAAATGAGACGTGCGAAAAAGTGTGAGATTATCTCGCTATTAGGTATAAATTAAGGCAAGGGAACGGGGCGTGCGGCACAATTATATTGTCACGAAGGTGTTGCCCGCGCGTCGCACCTGACCGCCAATCTGGCGGGCGATCGGCGCGCGCGCACGCCAACCCCGCAAGGCCGGCCCCCGCCGCGTCGGAATATCGATAATTCAACCCGCACCATTCGCGTTAATTACCCTGACATGCGTAATGAAAATCTGTCGACTAACGCCTCATAAATGCACAAACAACGAGACAACTATCATAAACTAGTTTACAAGCGATAGTATTTTAAATTACATTACAATGATTGAGCTTAATTAAGTCATCGGTTAATAAAAATGGATATGTTCGCTTGGAGTGTCGACACGGGCGCATCCCTAGCGCCGTGTAATCGATACGGGCCGGCTAAGCGGACGGACAAACTCACATATTTTATTGTGTGCCAATTAAAATTATTCCCCTTCCTTATTGATTGTGGGAGCAAGTTAGTCTCCTCGCTAGACTTTTAATCGCATTCAATGTTTTATGTTAATTTCTATTGGAATGATAGAGCCGTCATGCTTTGTGCATGCAGTTATTTTAATAGACAAAGTACACGGTCTGCACTATTCACGCTTTAATTAGATATTGTTATAAATGAAGGTTTTTACGCATTTTATTTTGGAATGAAGAGTTCGTTCAGTACTTTTATTAGAGAAATCAAATTAACAATATTAATTGACTTTATAGCCTTATGTTCTAACTGCTCTTTCTACCAACTGTGGTTTGCTCTCATGTCAGAAAGTGGTGCTGAGCTGGTTTTTCAATAAGTTTGTGTAGCTTTAGGTGTAAGAAGAAGCGCTCTTGCTGTGAATATTGAAAATTCTAGCCCACTTGGTACAAGCTTAATCACACTCGTTCGGAATGGATACAAGAACAGTATGTATATACGAACATCCGAAATTTAAATAGTTTTACGACAGATGAAAGAGTAAACATACGCCAATGGATTTTCCTACACTTTAACAAACAAATAAAAACCTTTCATGTCTGTATGAATAGGATACCTTTGCCTTTTTACGGAAAAATATAATGCACGTATAATTGAACTGTGTAACGTCACTTAAAAAAAACAAATCTTGAATTTGGCGCCTGCGTTTTCAATTCAAAATTTAAATGTCGCGGATGTAAAATTCCACACGTCGCGTCACATGCGTTAATCGACCACCATTACACGCTCCCCGCTCGCCGACTAATGAGTGTGCGGCGATAACGTGGTGATAACGTAGCGATAACGGGGCGATAACGGTGCGATAACGGCGCGATAGCGCGCCGATAACGGTTCGTTGGTAGTGCTCTGTTTATGTTCTATCTAATAACAATGAAATGGTCACCGGCTCACCGTTTCGAAAGACTCCCGTCGATGCACCCGTCGAGCAATTACACAAACTATCAGCTGTAATAGATCTTGCAGTCATCAAGGCTTGGGACGTCAACTGTTGGGAAATTTCTAATAGTATGTCGAAAGCAAAAAATTTTACATTCGTTTGTACACAATAATTAATATAAAAATTAAATGCCGATTCCTGCGAAATAATTGCACTATTCGAAGTACAACTTCAATTAAACAACATATGGACTCCTTTGAAATACTTGGTTTGATTCAATTATCTATAATTGATCAATAGATCAATTTAACGCAGTTTCCTCTCGACGCAGCTACCTGTCGTTCGCTGAAAAACCATTCCTCGTGGAGAAAGGACGCTGGGATTCGGGGAAACGTAACCGCATTAAGTATGCGAGGCCGTCAGTGGGGCGATGTTAATTTCTAAGTAACACAGTGAGTCAGAGGGCCAACTGTATTCGGTCCGTTAACGATCTTGGATCGGGCGATCGATCAAATTGCACAGTCGATACACGTGTGCCACCTTTTGCGAGCTGGCGACACCGGTATTTTATGCATCTCACCCTCCACTCGAATTCAAACCTTAACCTCCGGTAATAAATGTTAATTTGTCTGATTTGCAGACGGAGGATGCACGTCTCGAGTACGCGATATTGTATTTACTTAGAATTGGTTTTCCGACAGCTTTGCTAATTATATGCCCTCCATTGTGTTTCAATTCTTATTGGAACAGAACAGGGTTGAAATTCTTTTGTTACTTTTGTTGATATGGCGTTCTTATTAGTATGTTAGGTTAGCGCAAAAGGGCCAGCGTGCGAGCCAATTCCAAGAAGCTCGACTAGACGATCGTTCAGACGCATTGAGACAGTGGCATCCATCGACCCTCATTACTGCAGAAAGAAAGTAAGATACGTCTATTTGTTAAAACATGGCACAATATAGTTCTTAAAAGTTGTAACGTGCCTTATGTTCTACCCAACTACCTGAGGCAAAAGTGCGGAGTCCGCTAAACTACCGCACCGCGAGGTAAAAGGTGCTTTTTGCGGCCCTACCCACAGCGGAGGGCCGAAATCCGTGGGTTCTGGCTAGCCCACCGGTTCTGCGTCAAGCTCTAATAGTCTCGGGACTGAAAGCAAAAACATCAGTTAATACAAGATACAAGATACAAGTTGTGGCAGCCGTATGAAATAGAAAATCGACCTCGGTACGATGCAGTGTCAACAATGCTCATTAAGTATTCAATATCGGCCGCATAGCTGTCGACGCAAGATATCGACGAAGCTGACGCGTGTGGGATGGTTATCTGTCCATCGATGAATCATTTCGATCTGCTCATCTACCCCGATGCCTTATCAGCTCTCAGCGCTTTCAAACTGGCCCGCGGTATACATCACGCCGCCGAGAGATTGGATTTAAAGCACTCATCAAGATCAATGTTTATGCGTTCAATTTCAAGCTTTATACCATGCTCTTACGAAAGGCGAAACCACAATCAGTTCTCTGGAGCAACCAGACCCAAGACGAGCCGATAAGAAATTGCTGTCAAGTTAGTATAAAAGTCTATTTTTTAATGATAAAAACAACAATAAACATTGTTTTCTGACATGGATGATTTGATATTGGTTAGTTTTCGCCAATCTAAATCTAAGCATCATTGTTTAGAGAAGAGATTATTATTATTAGATACATGTATCGTATTGTTGTCATATATGTTAAATTAAAAAACCATAAAGTACACTTTTACTATAAATATTCATTTTCTGGTCACCATTTATTATAATAATAACAACTCTCACACCAAATCTCAATGAGATAATAAGTAAATAGCATGTAGAAAAAAATCTACAACCGAATATCGACCCGAATGGTGTAGCGGGTAGTGCACCTGCGTCAGAGGGCTTGGGTTCGATCCCCACTACTGGAAAAATATTGTGTGACGAACATAGTGTTTTTCTAGTGTCTTAGTATTTATATATCAATAATATATATTTATTTACAAAAGAAAAGTATGTTTAAGAATGTATATACCCATAGTACAAGCGTTGCTTGGTTTGGGTCTAGAGAAGGTTGTATAAAAATGATATTTAAAAATATTATATTTATATAATATTGACATTTAAAAATATTATGTCGGTCCCTTAATATCAGAAGATGGCAACTTAATAGTCAGCCAAACTGACAATCTGTGAACACGGTCAAATCGGGTAGTCTTTTAACACTCACATAAACTGCCCACCTCAATCTCGATGTCATAAGCCTCACACAACTTTAGCACGGTTCCGTACAATCTATTCAATGCGTCATATCGCATTATGACGGCATCGCGGAAATCTTATGCCATTTACTGTGGCATACATTCCTATCATATCCGACTTGGGGGGCCGCGGGGGGATGAGGCGTCGGGGAGGGCGGGGGGTCAGATATTTCAATTCTCGGTCGGATATTGGCGGGTGTCGTGACGACGCATACATCTAAGATCGGAACGCCTTTCCGCGTGTCCGTCGCTTATCAATATATTAAAATCGTCCGCCCCGAGTTATGCCGGAGTGGGTCTCGGTTTTACGACGCCGTCCACTATGTGTGTACGAGCATATCCATGAATACGTTTTAAGGCTATACAGGCTAATAGCTTCTGAATTAGAACTGCACGAGGCAAAGAGTTTATTCCACGTTAATTGACTAAAATACGGCTGTGTCACGAGAAACTGGCGCCTACTAGGCATCGAACCTGAATCTTTTCCGTTCAATTCATTATTAATGTATGTATAACCATGAATTATTTTGTAAGTGCTTAAGACAAAAATCACAATCCAGGAGCATGTTCAAGATTACACAATCGAGGAAATAAGATATAAGCCAGTGACTAGTTTATTACATTTATTACATTATATTCAAAATATTTTAATTATAAAAAAAAACCCAAAAAACTACGTATCGTCCGTATTGCGTATAATCCACCATTGGTTTTAATCCACGAAACAACAAACTTACGCACTGGTTTGAAACTTAACAAAAAATAGTAGGTAAACACTTCATAATACATAAATCGGGAAAATTTATTTATTTTAATACTATTTAGAATTTTAATTTTCTACGCCCATCCTGGTTTAAAAAAAATAAAAATGTTCACGTCAAAAAACGAAAATTCGCGGGAGGAATTTATTTGAGGTCATAATCGAAATGAGCTTTGACAAAATGTCAATCAAACAGAAATCGAGAGTTGTCAGTTGAAAATATTTGCGACGCGATCTTGGATGTCAGGCGTCGGTGAGTCCCATCGTCGCTATTTCCTCGTACCGTCTGTCATAACGTCAAACGCGCCACTCGCATATTTATTTCGAATCACTGGCAACAAAAAAAGCATCTTTACATATTTTTTTTTCTGTTTGCTGCGATGTTGATTTTTTATCGAAGACACAGTTTACCCGAGGTAACTGAGATATTTATTTTTGTTGTTGAAACTTTATAAATTATCACTTAATTAAAAAAGAGCCATCCAGTCATAATTCAGCCTGTTTGAGTCCACGGCAGAACATAGGCCTCCCCCGTAGACTGCCACGAAGTACGATCCTCATCCACCTGCATCCATCGACTTCCCGCACATTTGCACAAAGAGCCCTTAATATACTCTAAAAAGTCAAAACGGGTTACAGTCGTTTTGTTGCTATAAAATTTCTACGGGCAACACGAAATTGGCTGTCGTAAATTCTAGCAATTTCGCGACGATCGGACGGCAGTGTGCGATCGCACGGGAACAAAGGGGCATCATTCAAACGCGAGAAGGGAACAAACGAAAG